TGTTTTTCTCCAATGCTTTCAGTAATAAGAGATGATGCTTTTGTGTAACGCTGAATAATTAAAAAATTATTTGGCTTTTTCCACTCAATTGTGTGTGTGTGATGCAGGCATCAATGATGAGCTCACCCATTATTTTACCACAAATATCAAATAAGATTTTTCTTAAATATATAACAGCTCTGCGACAGTGAAACGCAATCATTCATATGTGCGAATACATTAATGACATCAGAAATTCTCAAAAAACAAACAAACAAAAAAAACTATTCTCTAGAGTTCTTCTAAATGAAGGATTCTTTATAGAGAGTTTTGGGTGTCAGTCTAGGGTAAAAGAGATTAGATGGTGTGAGCAAGTTTTTTACGCAGTTAGTCTGCAGAGAAGCTTTTTTTAGACCTTGTCCCTTGTGGCTTTTCAGCAGACCCTTGATTTTGTATAACATCTGTCAACTAAAATTGAAAATACTGATTACTTTTCAGAGTTAAAGCTGTCAGATATGATCTAAAAAGAAGATATTTCATAGATGGTGAATGGTTTTGGATTCACCCCAAAGTAGTTTAGGGGAACTTGTTTTTCTCAGTGAGGTTTTGGTGGCAAACAGTGACTTTCTGTGTACTACTGCAGAATCACTAAAAAAGACTCCTCAAGTTTTACGCAATCCCTCGTTGCGTAACAGTTTAGGTGGTTGCAACCCACCTAGTCCCTTTTTTTAACGCTAACATGTATTGTAGAGACCTCATGTTTTTTCCCTTCTTTTATACTCTTGACATTTCCCCTGTTCCATAGCCTTTCTATAGCTCTGTCAGTTCGTAATGCCACGTCACTTCTCAGGACCGTACCGCTGTCTGACAGCCACTTCCACCGGGAGTGACCTTTTCTTCCATTCCTTTCATCCATGCTTGCACTCGCTCTCCCTTTATCTTTAAAGAAGGGCTGAAGAAATATAAAGCAATCACAGCATCAATCATTCAGCGCCGCTTGGAGGAAAATTCATGAGAACCCGACTCTAAACATGTTCAAAATTATTCAACCCCCAAAAGTCACATTTTGTGCAGAATCTTTTGTCACCTTTCTTTATATAGCACTTTTTACAATACTGATTGTTTCAATCAAAGCACCGTAACAGTGATAACAGGAAAATAGTGCAACAAAGTTTGTAGCGCCATAGTCCAACTTAAAGTAAGTTCAGTGATGGTTCATTTTTGTTTTAGTGTGTATATAGCCACTCTGGAGAAAACAGTGCCGTCATCGTCAAGCTCCGTTCAGTCAAGATCAATAATATTGTTGAATATTAAGTGTCCCCAACTTAGCAAGTCAAAAGCCAAAGGCGATGATGGCAAGGAACCAAAATTCAATCAGGTGACAGAATGGAGAAAAAACTTTGGGAGAAACCAGGCTCAGTTGATGAACGAATAGTGTATGATTGTGATTCAGGTGGCATTACAGGTCAGAAGTCAGATTGGATCAGAACATTCAGAATATCCAGTTCCATCTGGTTGAAGATCGGAGTCGTCTCGTCGGTATGGAGACGGGTTTGTTGATGATCAGTGCCACTGGCTGTCGTGTCTGAGGCCTTCACAGGGGAAAGTCTAGTTGACACAATCTCTGCTGACACTTCAGGGATGCGTTGTGATCTCGTCTGGCGCAAGTCCTCCGCATGGTCTGGATACGGCCCGGATCCGGCTTACTAGAGTAAACTTCGGGATAAACAGAGAGCCTAACATAGCATAGATGCCATTCTTCTAATGATGTAACAAGTACATCGGGTGTTATAGGTAATGTTCTCGGTTCCTGCTTGAGCTCCAGGGTCTTCAAGGCCTTTATAACCTATAACTGCTACCTGTTCACTTGGAAAAGCTTCCAGAAAACTGATAATCTTTGGTTATCATGTTACTACTGCTATTTTCAATAAGATGAAAATCTGAAGACTGTATAGCTACTCAAGAACATTCTACGGCTGATCCCTGAAGCAAACTTAAGTCATTTGGATGTATACTTTGGGATGGCTGTCCTGCAGGAAAGTCACCATCTTTGCTAAAATGGCTTGATACTTTTAAAGAATTCATGATTTTCTTTCCACTTCCTGCAACAGCAATGCTGTTTGACCATAGATGCGTTATTCTGCTCATTGGCTTTTTTTGCACCAGACTTACCGCTGATCCATGGGTCCAAAAATTTATAGTTTGGTCATATCACTCCAAAAACATTTCTCCATAACACCACAGATATATTCAAATGAATTTGAGCATGTTCATGTTGACCTTTTATGTTAATTTTGGTCAAGTGACATTTCGCAAGATGTCACAACTTGAAGGTCATGCTTCTCTAGTTTTCTTCTTATACTCTGCATTGGAGGACAAAGGGCAATAATCTAAATTAGAGATTAAGGCTCTCTCTCTCTCTCTCTTTATATATATATATATATATATATATATATATATATATATATATATATATATATATATATATATATATAAATCTATCTACGCTATCTCACGACCAATTCGTGAGAAAAGGGGCTACTACCGGGTTTGCCAAAAGTGGCTAATTTGTACTTATTCATACAACCTCACTCATACGAATTCGTACGATTTGTCTAAACCCATGTGATGGGTAGGTTTAGGGGCGGGGTTTAGGGGTAGGCCATTCTTACGAATTCATATGAATTTGGTAACTCGTAAAATATGTATGAATTTGTATGAGTGAGGTCGTATGAATTCGTACGAATTAGCCACCTTGTAAAATTCATACGAATTGCTGTGAGATCGGGTTGGTGTGTGTGTGTGTGTGTGTGTGTGTGTGTGTGTGTGTGTATGTATATATACACACACACACACACACACACACACACACACACACACACACTCACCTAAGGATTATTAAGAACACCATACTAATATGTTTGACCCCCTTTCGCACTCAGAACTGCCTTAATTCTACGTGGCATTGATTCAGTGAACTCATTGTCATGTTCAAGAAACCAATTTGAAATGATTCGAGCTTTGTGACATGGTGCATTATCCTGCTGGATGTATCCATCAGAGGATGGGTACATGGTGACCATAAAGGGATGGACATGGTCAGAAACAATGCTCAGGTAGGCCGTAGAAAACATCCCCCACACCATTACACCAACACCACCAGCCTGCACAGTGGTAACAAGGCATGATGGGTCCATGTTCTCATTCTGTTTACACCAAATTCTGATTCGACCATCTGAATGACTTAAAAGAAATCGAGACTCGTCAGACGAGGCAACATTTTTCCAGTCTTCAACTGTCCAATTTTGGTGAGCTCTTGCAAATTGTAGCCTCTTTTTTCTATTTGTAGTGGAGATGAGTGGTACCCGGTGGGGTCTTCTGCTGTTGTAGCCCATCCGCCTCAAGGTTGTGCGTGTTGTGGCTTCACAAATGCTTTGCTGCAAACCTCGGTTGTTAAGTGTTAGTTTTTATTTCATTTGTTCGGCCTAATATTTGGGTGGAATCTGAGATTTTTTTTTTTTTTTCAGGACATTTTGATGAATAGAAAATTCCTTCATTTGAAACTGATTTTTTTTAAAACGTTATAAATGTTGTTTATAAAAGTAAACAAAGGAATCATTTATTTTCAAATAGATACGGCCTGGGCCTCGTCATGGCTTGTTTATGAATGAAAAATGGAATAAACTTGAATAATGTTCTTTATGGTATTTTAGATCCAACATGTAAATGGTATAGTGATGCATTACAAGCTTCATTAAAAGCACTGAGATTAAAATAATCAGCAGCGATCGGTTACATATGTCCGGATGGGGTCTTATGAGCTGAATGTCCTAGGATTGGGGTCAGTGATATAGCACACAGCCTTAATCTTTAATTTGGATTATGGCCCCTTGTCCTCCAATGCATACTGTATTTCAGCACCATCTGTTTTAAGGCAGTGACTTTATAACATCTTTGGCATGTTCTGAGCTGTCCCATGTGTTGCATTGAATGGCTTTGGCCATGTTGTAATGATGTCATGCTTTTTTAGAGCAGTGAGTGTAAAGAGGACAGGGTTTTACCGAATTGATTTTTAGAGAATTATGCAACATTTCCGTAATGCTACTTTAAGGTTTTGTTTTAAAAACACCAATATACAATGATATTTATGCAAATAAAACAAGGATGCTGTTTTTTCAGTTTGTTAATGTGATTTGCACACTGAGAGCCCAGATTAAATTACATAATGTATAGAATCATCATTATACATCATTCTTTTAATGTTTGGGGTGCACTGTAAATACCGTCTTAAAAATAAAATGTTCCTCTTGTTATATTTAGGCTAAAACTGTTGTGGAAAGGCAGCTGGTAAAAAGCTGATATTTTGAACCATTCTCTTTTTAGTGTAAAACATTATTGGTACATTTTAAAATGTCAATATCTGTTTTTAAAATAGAATCATGCAGTAACCAAGAACATTAGCTGTTAATTTGAAAGAAAATAAATTGTCTTCCCTTACAAATTACATGGAGACTGAATTATGCTGCACTATTTTACAATGCTGAGAGGTTTTAGGGCCCATGCACATATTGGGAGGACACAAATTGCTTTACACAGCTACTAAGAAATGTATTAAATGCACCAAACGGTGGTGTAATGCAGCTACAAGCTACGGCAAAAGGAATAGATGGAATAACGGGCCTCCATCGTATGTTAACTCATTTATAGTCTCATCTTTCTTTTACCGGCAATTCATTTTCATTCTTTAATTCATTTTCCTAATTTCTTTTTTCATAGAACTTGATTCACATTCTTTCTCTGCTGGAGACACTTTATGGTTGGACCTCTTCAGCAGACCAGCAGAAAGGCTGAATATATTATCTGTTATATAATTAAATAAATCTTGTATTTCTCAAAAACCAGAAACGTGATTACAGCTCAACATGATAAACATATGTTATATAATTTGTTAACTGGATTGTTGTTCTGATTCGACAGAATAAAAGGTTCTATTCGAAAAATTCCACCTTTAGAAACTAAAATAATGTTTTAGAATGCAGAATGAAATTCGTGTTTAATTTCATCTCAATCCATTTTTTCCCCATGCAAGTTCACACAATGATCTTTTTTTAACCCATTCAAAAATATCAAATTATTTCTATTGAATCAATATATGCAAATTATGAGTCACATAATTCAGATACAAAACATTGAAATTGTCATGCCCGGATTAATGGATTTGGTTATCTTTGTCTGGTCTTGTTGTTTCAGGTGATGTGTTTTGAATGAATATCTAGACAAAAATTTAACACAACACATGTTTGACCAAAAAAAAAGTCAATGTCAAAGGTTCTGATCCAAGATGAAATGGCCTTTATAAAAAAAAATCCATTTAGTTCAGCACTGGCACGGAAATCATACCAACAGGTGTCTTTCATTAAAGATGACCAGTTTGTGCCAGTTAAGTGGTGATTCACGACACAGTCTATTCCACTCATGCAGCAATCATAATAATTTCCGCGTCTTTGGAAGGTCTTCTGTCCTCCACCAGCAGGTTGATCATACTCTCGGACTTGATGAGTAGATTGCACCCTAGGAAAAAGATGCCGAAAATGACAGTCAGTGACAGCACACAGAGAACTGCTATCTGCACCAAACGCATGATGAACTGATCGCGCTCGTCCTGAATCGGTGAACCCAACCCGTCGCTGGTGGTGATCACCGAGAAGTTGCAGCATCCTCGGACGTTTTCCAAAGGATGCTTCGCTGTAGAGATCGTCCGGTTCAGTAGTCCGTGTGAAACATTCATGTCGAGTTTTTTGTGGCGTGTCCAACGAGTAGCTATTGATGATTTAAAACTTCCAAAGGATACCGGGTTTGCCAAAGTCACTTGAGCGTTTCCATGGATATCATATTTTAAAAGTATCAAACAGTCATTAAGGCGTCGGTACGTGGAAGGTAGTCTGATTTATTTGTGTTGTATGATAGAATGCAACATCCAAGCATCTCCGCTGCAATCTTAGTGATGTTTGGGAGAGCGCGCACTCCGCTATTTCAGTGCGCATTTGAGCGCGCGCCGAGAGGCGCGGCCACGCGCACACACTTTCTTTTAAACTCGCAGACCATAGAGGAGGGAGTGGTGTCTTAAAAGTAGGCTACGTGTATAGGCTACAAACGAAGAGTTCAGATGCAAAAGCCTCTAAGTGCCATTTGAAATTTTCTTCTAGCATGATCATTTTTATCAAGCTTGTATATTTAAGTTCAGTAATTTCACTTAAATGGCAATTCATAGCTAATCTTCATTGTCTTTTAAGTGAAATTACTGAACTTAAATATATAAGCTTGATAAAAATGATCATTTTAGAAGAAAATTTCAAATGGCACTTAGAGGCTTTTGCATCTGAACTCTTCAAATAACTATAGGCCTATGTTTTGAAAGCTTTTTTAAATAATATTCAGTAACTCCGGAAGCTGCATATGGCTCTGAATTCGTAATGACCACATTTTCTACTGAAGTACTGAAGGTCACGTGTCGTTAAGGACGCAGCCTACCGGAGATATCCTTCCAATTATTGACTTTGGTGATGTTATTTATAGAACCGCTTCAAATTCTCTCCTTTGGAAACTGAATGTCGTATAGGCTATCATTGACATTGTGCCATATTTTATCACCAATTTCTCCATATAACACCCACCATTGCAACCTACTAATCGTCTGGCCTTCACTACCCGGCGTCAAAAACATTGGTATGATATCATCTAATTTACAAATATGTTATGTAAGACCCCAACCATTCAAGAAAATTCAATATAAAGGTAGGTAGGCTATATATTACTTGTGAACAGAATATTTGTTTCGTGTGTCATTTCGAATAAAGATTGCCTTTCAGTTTGCATAATGTGTGAAAATATTGTTTATTTTTGCGGATTAAGAATGCTAGCTATAAAATTAGCATTAGCAAGAAACGAATGGGCCAACTAAATATTAAATTTTTAAAAAATGTAATTTCCACCACCAATATTTTCGCCATTGTGTTTTGAGATGTGGTGAAAATGACATTTGTTGAAGACGGTCTAGTTTCAATTCTGCAGTGAGTGACGATGCACTGTCGAACATTGTTTGTTAAAAATATTAAATAATTTAATGAATGTGGGGTCTCTTACTCGTTTTAAAGAAACATCTCGCTATATGTTCGTATGGCCACATTTTAATAGTGTATTCAAATAACGTGTTGTAGGCCTATATCGGAACGCTAGATGGCAGTATATTACCTTGCTTTACAAGTGAAATTGGCTGTTGTATGGGTTATATGCACATACATTTCATCGTGTTTTTATGTTATGTATTGCATTTAAACCCCTAATAGCATAACTTATTTGAATGCCAAAGTTTTAGAAAAATATAGGCTATGCACAGATGTGACTTTCAATTGTACGCCTTTTACCCTGCATACTTGATGGAAAAAATTAAACAATGTTTATTTGATTGTGTCTCCCTCTGTACAATAAAGCACATAAATATAATGCTTATTCTTATAGAAAGTTATGTCATTGGAACTATTTGAATGTTTAAACAACAATCATATTATACTTTAATTGAACTGATGACTACATTGCTTTCATCAGCCATGAATCTGATGGTACACATCCTCATGCCAGCAGTGCCGAGAAATGCTCCTTCAGCCTTTTGCTTTCTAGAGCAACATGTACTTGCTGGTGTTCAGTTACTCTCTGAGAAGAGGATAATGATCTTCGCTGATACGTCACGTGACACAGCCTTTTGACATTAGGCTATAGGCTAAATAATATTATACAACACTTTGCTCATATCCTTCAAAAAGATTGGCAGAGCGTCATGCCAACAGTGCTGAAAGCAGCACCTTTCAATCTTAGTTAATGTGTCAATGTTGAATGCAACTGTTCATTGTTAGTGCTTGTTAGCTCAGACCCAATTAACATTGATAGATACCTCTATTAATATTGAAAATAATGTATTAGTAATGTATTAGTTCTACCTGTATTAGGTAGAAACTAACATTAACTTAGAATAATACACGCTTTAGAATATTTGGTTAAAGTTGCAGTGTGGTGTTTTTCCTCTTTGTCGCCATCTCTGCTCGAAATCTGCACACTGGGGCAGTGAAATGAATTGGAATCAGGCTGATGGAAATTTTGTTCTGATTTATTCTGTGGGAAAAAAAATGGACAAAAAAAATGGACAATTATTTTCTGCAACATATTACAAGTGAGAACCCAGAATATAGGTAACTGGTAAAGTAGTCGCCACCATGTTGTGAGCAACTTGTTTCCGTTTTACCGTGGTGCAGGATTTTCCTCATATCCAGGTGAGAGTGATGGTGTCACTTACACTTGCCAAGTAGTGTGATAATCCCAGAGGGGCATGACTTCGCAAACACGCACTCCGTTATATCTAAGTGCTATTATTGATTTCATGTGATGAGAGGTTATTTTTAAACTCAAGGCTAAAGTTAGGGACCGGCAATCCCCACCCAAGACACCCTTCTGAAACCCTAAACTATTCCTCTAGGGAACAACTTGTACACTGAGGAATCTATGCCTGATGTAGTGTGTGGAAGAGATGTGCATGTATTAGCATGTTAGAATGTGTTCATGTTTGTCTAAGAGACAAAATATATGAATGGAAAAAGTTAGGAATAAGCAAACTAAAATTATTTATTATAAAAAAAAAAAAAAAAGTGGAAACAGCATTTCAGGTCAAATATATTTAAGGTGGCATATTGTAGATGTTTTACTTTTCATTAATTTGCATTTTGTAAAAGAATAAACCTGCTCAGCCAGTTTCATAGAAGTCCTGAGACAAGACCCTGCCTGACAAAACATGTGAAATGCCATGTTAATACAAACAGAGAAAATTTTACTATACATCACATGAAATGTACATTCCTTTCTGTTCTCGCTGTCTCTCGTGGTCAAGCTGGTTTTCTAACAGCTGTGTTGTAACAATGCCGTTGCTGGGTTAACAGTCCTCAATAGTGGCATTCCCTGTGGGTCATGCCGCTCTGAGAGGGGGTCCCTACGTGATCTCCATTTGTTTTTGTCATGCATGTATGCCATTTACTAAAGAATTACATTTTCCTTAATAAGATGATTTCCATTACATGGGAATAGATGTTAAAACTTCATGCTGCTGATTTATACTCAGCTTTCACCAAGATAAGCACAAACTAAGACGTAGCTTTACAGTAAACTATGCTTCTCCGTCAATTTACGCTTCTTTCCATATGGTGATGTGAATCTCCTTCTGTCCGGTGTTAACGGCTGCAGTGTACTTGGCGGTTGGCGTGTCAGCACACATGACGACTGCAACTACAGTGTGGTGTCCCTAGTCAGTGGACCAACATGACAACCGTCTGGATTGAGCCGAGTAGGGGACATCTCCAGGGTCTTCAAGTGGGCACCTTCCATCCTCAGAGTTTCGTCAACTAACCCACGACACCTCAAGAGGGCTCGACAGTGACTCTGGCGTCCCAGAGTCCCCCACTCAACTCAGCCCAGCTTACTGACCTTTAAGGCCAATTTATACTTCTGCGTAGGGTGCGCAGACGCCTACCATACTGTGTACCCTTTGCCGTAGCCTGACGCGCACCTCCTCAAAAATGTAACTACACATCGCGACGACGTGGACCGCAAGATCTGTGATTGGTCGGCTTGGTAGCATCGCATTTCCTCCTACGCATTTCCGCACGTACCATCTCCTCCGACGTCTTCGCTCATTTCCTGCTTTTAGTTTTAGTAATTTCACTAAAATTAACTGTTTGTCCACCTCAATAAGCTCCAACTCCAACATGATCCGTTCTCTTTCAGTTGCCTTTGCTTGTAGTAACCCATAGACATATACACTAGACCTCACCTTGGCTACGGCAGTTCATTGGAACGATTGCGTCAATAGAGCCGCCATCTTGAAACAGGGGAGCCCCTCCACTTTAATGCATCAGCGTCAGTGTAGTAGACACAGGTCTAACGGAAATAAAATCACCATAAATCATCATGAATGCGATTTTTCTTGTTTTTTGGTTTGTTCCAACGGTCAGACATGTATTTATCATTGATTCCAGAAAGAATTTTATTTTATTTTTAAAAAAAAACATTCTTCCTAGTTTAGATTTCATCCGTGAACATCATACGCTGCACAAAAGTTCGCCAACATCAATGAATTCGAAGTAAAGGCAGAGATAGCAGCGTTACCTAGCTACTTCCTATGACAAGACCCGTGTTCCAAGATGGCGGCGGTTTTGACGCATGCTTAGAACCCCAAGGTGAGGTCTAGTGTATGGTAGTAACCTAGCCACGAGGAATCTAAACACAGTGGAACATTAAAACCCTCCGCCGCCAACTAGTACTTCAGAGCAGTACTGCAGAGCAACCAAGACCTAAACGCAGAAGTATAAATGCTCACGACGGCGTCGCCTACGTGCATAGCCTACGCCGTACCCTACGGCATTCCCTCGACACAGAAGTATAAATTGGCCTTTACGTCCCTCCTGCTGCTGAGGTTGCTCCTTCCTCGTAGTTCACATGTGACCTAACCACTATCTCACAATCTCTCCGCAACCCAACCATACGTGCCATCCCGTTTGACTAAGGCTGTCGAGCCCCACTGTCTTTCGTTAAAACAGGTTCAGTGGCAACGGTTCTGTAAGGCATGCTACCTACCGCAAAACACAGTATCTGCCCAAACACCAACCCTCATTCACGCAATATACACAGGAACGTAATAACTGTAGTTACTATACAAACTATACAAATAAACCATCAAACAATTTGAGTTTTTCAAGAATTCTCCGAAACCGTAGCGTGGCGGCCTGTACACAGCCAGTTGCTGCTCCTCTCTGCTGCTTCAGATAGGTTCTTTACTGTGCGACGCAACTCTTGGCCACTGAATCCGACGTCTCTGAGGAGCCGGGTTGTAGATTGTGCCACAAAACTTCGACAACCCACTTCCACTGGATAAACCTGGACTCTCCATCTTCGCTGCTCTGCTTCAGTGGCCTGTGAGCATCCCGCAGTTTCTACCTCTCCAATGCCTCATTTACCGCATCCTCCCATG